GGGGCCACGTCACACTCAGAGAATTTTAGTGGTCTGGCTGCTCAAAAAGCCATTTAATCAGGAGCGTGTGCAAAATAAATAAAAATGATAATGCTAGACAGGACGTACAATGATAGAGGGTCAGATGGAACAGACTCAATAAGATGTGCTCTCTTTGAAATGGTTCGTCGTTGGCCCAGGTCAGCGAATAAGTAATAATCCAATAACGGTTGTCCAGGCATCTTTTTGGAACAGTTATTACGTATAATAAATTCCGAAGATAATCTGAAGTGGTTTGATACCGGAGTTAGCTCATGAAACTCGCGGATGACCGCTGTTAGTGCCAGCGAAATCAGGAGAGTCGAAACACGTTAGTATTGCATGCAATCGTGGAGAAGCGCGTTTTTGTAGTTTTTCTTATTCAAACGAAGAACGTTTATGTAATTGATGAAATACGTGATTTTGTAATGGAAGTAAAGGAAAGTTACAAAACACCAATATTTACAAGCATTATTTTCTGTCCAATATCAGTGAAGTGCAAAGGTCCGTATGAGACATACACTGACATGGCAAAGTAAACTGAGAGAGACCATAGTCGCAGTGAATACCGCTGGGTATGCGCCGGTTCCCAGTTAATGCGTCACGGCTTCATGAAGAAATTATCAAAAATATTGCTCCCACAGGGCTCCCACTGGCAGCTATAGGCCTATACGCCCCACTAGCGTGCCGTGCAAGGTGATGGAACGCATTCTGAAGCGAGCTATTCTAGGTAACCTTACTTCCAGCAATCTGATATCTCCAGCTCAACACGGATTTCTCCCAAACCGCTCTCACGTGACAAACATGCTCGTGTTTATGGACAGCTTAGCCCAAGCCAAGGACGAAGGACTCGTATCGGGTGCCATATTTTTCGACTTCTCAAAAGCATTTGATAGGGTCCCACACATCCCGCTGCTCCACAAACTCGAGTCTTACAGGATACAAGGGAAATCCTTCACTGGATCAAGGCGTTCCTATCAGACATATCATTCCGAGTGAGAATAGGCTCGACCTACTCCTCTCCAGCGCCGGTCTACATTGGAGTTCCTCAAGGCTCCGTCTTGGGACCACTCCTGTTTCTGATCTACGTCAACGACCTCCCAGATGTTCTTGCAAGTCCATGTCTACTTTTTGCAGACGGCTTGAAATCCCGGAGTTCCAATGCCAGCGCCCTCCAAATGGATGTAGACGCTGCCAAGCAGTGGTCGTTGGACAGGCACCTTCCTCTGAATGATGAAAAGTGCTCCCATATGTCGTTTGGAGATTGTTCAGCGAATGCTTTTGTTACGCATGGTGAAAAGGGACCAGAAAACATCATGAGGATAGATGCCAAAAATGATTTGGGTATCTGGGTCTCCTCAAACTTGTCCTTCTCACTGCACCATGAGAAATCGGCCCAAAAGGCATTCACCATTTCACGGAGGATCCGACGCACTTATCCCGTATTACTGGCATGGACTTCCAAATACTCTATGGGACCTACATCAGACTGCTCCTGGAGTACACCAACCAAGTTGTCTACTCAGGACGCACGAAAGACTTCACCCTCATTGAGCGTGTCCGGAGGGCCGCTACGAGAATGGTTACCAGGCTCAAATTCTTGGACTACGAAACGCGTCTCGCGATGCTTGATCTCCTTCCCCTGGAGTATCGTCACCTCTGAGGGGACCTAATTCTTACTTATTCCCTGCTTGAACTAGGCTTGGCCAACGGGTTTTCCACCGTTCACCCAGCAAACACACGGTTGGAACATAGTAAGAAAAATTTCAAGCTCAGAGCACACAAATTCATTAGACAAAATTTTTTCTCATTTCGGGTAGTAGCTGCGTGGAATGACCCTCCTCCGACGGTTGTCCACGCTCCTTCTAGAACCCAGTTTAAAGCACTATTAGACATTTATTTATGCGATTCCTCGCGCTGGCAAGCATACTGCCCCGCGCTGAGAACATAAAGAGCAGTGCTACACGCTTTTTTCACTTGTGCCTATCAGGTGAATGACAGCTACTAACTGAGAAGAACAAAACCGACCCGAGAAACTTGGGCATAAGCCTCGATCCTGTGTATCAATCCGTGAATCAAAGCTGCTGATTACGCTAGCTAACCCCGGGTGGGCCGCGATCAGGATTCACCATTGGGAAGTCATCGATATTGACGCGAAATACATACTGGTGTATAATCTTACTTCCGTACCACGAGTCCAGCACACAAACATTTCGGGCTAAATGTCATCGATACCAAACGTCGGAGAAGCAATTTGTCAGAATAACGGCCAATCAGAATCGGGCAGTTTTAGGTCGCTGCGCTCCCATCCGCCACTAACGTCTTGGCTCCGCCATGCGATTGTAGTATACGGTGTCTGTCCGTTTGATTGATTCATATGTAAGTATTGGTGGTGTACAACCTTGCTTACTGGGCTTGGCTCATGAGCTTTATTTATGTTTTCCATCCACAGAAATTGTCGTGAACACCTGCCTTCGGAGAATCACTGTCTCCTGGTGCTTCCATAGCGTGCATATTACAGATAGATCCCTTTACAGTTGTACATGTACAGCTACAAACATCTAATCACGTACGGACCCCTCCGCTTGTTGCGACAACACAATATGCACCCCGTAATATCCAGCTGCGTTTGGCCTTCGCGTCTACAGCTGTGAGCAGATGGAAGCCGGGCTGTAGTCAGTTCAATCCTTGTTTCTGAAGAACAGCATACATCACTGCAGGAGGAATGCAGCGTGTGGACAAGATCCGCGCGCCTTGAAGACGCACAGAAGTTGCAGCCGTACGGGATGCAGGGCGACAAACCGGTCAGTTCTATCACTGGGAACTGCAGGTTTTCTGCATGCGGAGATTAATTAAATTGGGGGTGAATTAGGGAAGGTGGAAAATGGAGTACAAAAAACTTTAATAAGGGGGGAGGCAGTAGTATGCTCTCGCTTACAAACCCAGGTGTATTGTACAAATCGCCACATGTTCCAATCCTTCAATTTGAAGTATCAAGGGGCTTTGTTCGTGAGACCATTGGCTAACTCGTTGTGTGAGGTTCTGTGAGTATCACATGTACACCACGGCAAGCATCAATCAGGTTTGAACATACACAAACCGTTACGCCAAAGTTAGATCCGATTACTCCGTCATCGGTCTTCATTGAAGTTCCTCAAGGCTGCGTTCTGGGACCGCTGCTGTTTCTTATATGCGTCAACGACCTTGCAGATGTTCTTGCAAGTCCATACCTTCTTTTTGCGGACGACTTGAAATCCCGGAGTTCTAATGCCAGTGCCCTCCAAATGGATGTAGACACTGCAAAGCAGTGGTCGTTGGATTGATGCCTTCCTCTGAACGACGAAAAGGGCGTCCATATGTCATTTGAAGGAGACTCAGCGAACGCCTATTTCGTGCACTGTGGGAATGGACCAGAAGACATCACGGGGATAAATGCCAAGAAAAACTCAGGTATTTGGCTCTCTTCAAACATGCCGTTCTCAGTCCACCATGAAAAATCGGCCCAAAAGGCATTCTACGGATACTTCGGCGCACCTTCTCCCGTATTGGTCGCATGGACTTCCAAATACTCTATAGAGGACTGCGTTTGAATATGCCAAACAAGTTTTCTACTCAGGACGCAAAAAGGACGTAACCTTCAATGAGCGTGTCCATCGAGCTGTTACGAAAGTGGTTGCCAGCCTTAAATCCGTGAACTATGGAACGCGTCTCATGGTGCTTGATCTCTTTTCCTTGGACTATCATCGCCTCCGAGGAGATCTAATACTTATTTATGCCCTGTTTGAACAAGGCTTGGCCAACGGGTTTTTCACCGTTGATCCAGCTAACGCACGGCGGAGACATGGTAAAGAGATTTCCAAGCTCAGAGTGCACACTTTTATTGGGCGCAATTTTTTCTCATTTCGGATAGTTGCTGCGTAGAACAACCTTCCTCCGACGGTTGCCCACGTTCCATCTAGAACCCAGTTCAGGCACTACTAGACCCGTTTTAAGCGAGTCCTCGAGCTGACAAGCTCACCGCACCGCACTGAGAACCTAAAGAACAGTACCACATCCTTTTTTCGCTTGTACCTTTCAGCTGAACGGCAGCCGCTAAGCGGCAAGAAGAAAACCGACCGGGAAACTTGGGCGAAAGCCTCGATCCACAGTCGTGTCTCAGCACATGAATCTGTGAAATTCTACTAAGATTTATCAAACCAGGGGAGATTCTCTAGTCTCTGAATCCGTTCTGGTAGTGCGTTCACAAAATTCGTACACGGAATTACGCGGCTGTTCTGTACTGAATGAATAGTTGGATGAACGCCACCTAAACTCTCAGCAGTATCGAAATGAATAAAAAATTGTGTACCTTCATTCAACGTTATGTGAATTCGTCTCTTCAATTCCAAATAAGTTCCCACCTCGTACACCTATAATGTAGTTATGGAAGGAATATCACTATTACCGCACTTTTCGATTCTTCATTTTTGGGGGCTTTGAGGAGTTGATGAAAGGCTTCATAGGATTTTATTGGGGAATAGAACCTTAGTTTGGTTTATATGCACTGCAACAGTGTTTTTAAGTGTTCTTTCCAGTCGTTCTCGGTCTTTGCGTAAGGTGTAACGCTTTTTTAAATATAATCCCCGGCGCCTTATATGGTCTCTACATGCATTTGATGGGAGTGTTGTTGACACAAGTCAGTGATACCTGAAGCCCAACTCAGCGACTATGTACAACTATACACTCGAAAATGAGGTATTTATCGTGCAGGTCCAATTTATGTGACGAACTAACGACAGACGGTTTCCGAGGTTGTGGTAATGGCATCAACTCAAACCTCATACGCCGAAACCCCGTAAGCAAGCTTGTACATCACCAATACTTACATATAAATCAGTCAAATTGACAGATACTGTATACTACAGAAAATAATACGACATTCAACAGTCGCGGATTTGAGAAACCACGGTTAGCTCAAGGTCACATTTACATAAACCACCGATTCACGGATTGATACACAGGATCAAGATTTTGACCAAGTTTCCTGGGTCGGTTTTGTCCTTGTCGTTAAGCGGCTGTCGTTCACCTGAAAGACAAAGGTGAAAAACGGTGTAGCACTGATCTTTGTGTTCTCACCGTGGGGCAGTATGCTTGCCAGAGCGAGGATTCGCAGCGAACGGAAACAATAGTCTGTCGGTAACTGCGGAGTTTTCTAGTCTTCCACTTCGTGGTTAAAATGCGTATGTCTACAGTGTTTTCTGCAACTTCTTTGTATGGGTGATTTCAACGAGTGAACAACCTTCAATCGCAAAAATGATACCTCGAAACGGAGAAAATTGTATTGTGGAAAATATTTCACCCTAACTAATTGCTGG